CGGGCTGACGATAGGCTGGCCGGTTGCGTGCTGGATCGCCACGACGGACTGTGAGATCTGGGTGAACCGTGTCGAGTTTACGATAGCGGGGTGACGATCGCAGTGGTGGAGTTAGCACGCGACGGCCGGGATCGTCGGTGTGGGTATGAGGATGGATGATCGGAGTTGAGTTGATTGGCCCGGGGCCATATTGGAATTAACGGCGAATGCGCCTTTGTTGCGGATTGCTATCTTTGGCGTGAGTGTACGGCGGCGACGCCGAACTTTTCTCTTTCCGGACCTTGTCATCTTCTATTTTGATTTTATTTCCCTCGACTCTCTCTCTCTCTCTTTCTTTCTCTTCCTCTTTTGAATAATGATGCGTCTGAATGATTGTCCCTCTCCTGAATGAGAATGAGTTTGCATCATGTTTCTGTGTGAAAGAACTTCTTCTGGAACTCTTCCATTAGTTTCCTGGGTAATCCCCTTACACAAGGACCCTGTCTTCTTGTCTTGTGAACGGTGGATGCGTGTGTACTGTGCAATGCGATCTATCCTTTCCTGTGCATGTCTCATTTTCGCACCTTCCACAGTGGATGCATGCATGTAGACATGTGACTCTTTTTGATTAGACGATCGTCGTTGGGATTTTGTCCGAGAATGCAAGAGTGTTTAGATCTATAGCTCTGAGTGCACTGCGCATGCCATCTGCCTTATGTTGTCCGACATCAGTAGCCGACCCACGAGGCGGCCTCAAGAAACAAGGCGCCAGGAATCAACATCGCACTGGCTAACTAAAGTTGAGCCGCGATCGGTCCCCGTCAGTTGCATGCATGATTAAACTGACGAGTGTTTTTCCACTCCTTTTGGTAAAAGGATTGATTGAGGATTATTTTCTCTTCGTGATTGATATGTGGACTGACAAGTACCCTCCGATCGGGCGTCAGCCTCCCGTACCTCCCGTACCCACACGACCTTTTCCCTACAACGAGGAAAGGACACGTGTATGCGAGTGGGACGTACGAGAAGTTGTCGCACAGATCGGCGGACGATACTACTTCCCCCCGTCAAACCGTTGTTCGGGGTTCGTAGAGGCTGGGTTTGTTATTATCGACACACACTTCCCACCCTACTCAATATTGCTCCCCTTTAACGAACTAATCGTTATCTCGTGGATGGCAGTGGCGCCCCATTGGCCTCGAACCCTGTGCACAGAGTGCCAGCGTTTCGATCGCTACGAAGCAAAGGGCTTCCACTACCGAATACGGAGTGAGGACGAGCACATGGAGAGAGCCACGCGTTTGCGACCCTCCTCATCAGACTCAGAACTGACCAACGAGAGACGACGGGACTTGATCCGAAAACGAGACACGCGAAGCTTGCCGAAACTCTTCCGCTCTAAACGACGGGCCGTAGCACAGTGGGAAGCCCGACAATACTTCCTAGATTGAATTTGGATTTTTCTTTCTTCGCGCCTTGTCCGCGCGCGCATTCTGCGACGCGCGAAAACAATCGACTTGCTTCATCGGACCAACACGGGGGATTTCAGTTCCGTCTGTGTCCCCACACTCAATTTCCAAAAATCCTTGGCACACCCCATCTTGTTGTTTTTCTGGGCCTCTTTCCGCACAAGTAACACTCCGAGCGAAAGACAGCACGGGTCGTGAGGTTGGTATCGGAGCCGACACGTGTCGGTTCTGATGATAGTAAGTCGAACTGGCGAGAGGTAGGAGAGACCCTCAACTAACTCGTCGGGATCGCCCAGTAACCAGGTCTCAGTCTAGTGCGGCTGCACCAGCAATACCAATGGTGGAYGGTACTAGGGTGATCGTTAGTATCCCTGCCCCCTTCCCCTTCTTCCCTAACCATACTCATCCCGAGGGTTGGCTGGAGGCTGTCGAAGCTCAGAACTACAGCGCAGCCGACCTCCCCCACGTTCTGACATTGCTACTTCGCAACACATCCCTTGACTGGCTTAGAAAACATGCGTGGGTAGATTGGGACACTTTCAAGCGAGCATTTTTGGCTCGATTTGATACGGTTCGTGAAGATGTCGCCTGGTATGTACTCAAAAATCGACCTCAAGGACGAGGGGAATTGTTGCCCAATTTCGTCGATCGGTTCCAAACCACGTTGGACAAATCCGGGCGAGACGGAAAATCCGCTCGAGATTTGTTCATCGATCACCTACGAAGTCCGACATTAAAGGGCAAACTGCAGAAGAAGGTCCCGCCGAAAACACACCCGTTATTGGCCATCACTACAGCATTAGAGCTGGACCTGGCTAATACAAAAAAATATATCAGTCAGGGAGACGAAGATATTACAGATACTATACGGGATGTAACGGCCAAAAGGCGATCATGGTTGCAGGCGGTCGAACGGTTTTATCCCCGCCCCGCCCATGACCTTATCGGCGGAATCGTTTCCGATATCCCACCTGCTTCTCCTCCCTCTACCCCGATGAATCAACCGATCGCAGTCGTTAGAAGCGGAACCTCATCCGACCCCCCCTCGTCGGCCGTAACCAATCTACACCTTGCCCAGATGATCCATACGGCCACTACCAAGCAGTCCGAATGGATGAGCAACCTGATCCAAATGCAGGCCGCTCATATGGAACCAATGGAACAGATAATGAGCCGACTCATTAAGCCTAACTCGGCACCTGCTCGGCCCGCCCCTGCATCGTTTTCACTCTTACCTGCCCCACCTGCTCCAGGGTTCGCGCCCCAGTTCCCTCATCCAGCAGGGAAGATCGAATGCTTTGACTGCAAACAACCCGGGCATTTTGCCCGGAATTGCTCGCATCCGAAACGAAATCAACCTCCCCCTGCTGTGGCCCCCGTCGCCCTTAATCAAGGACGAGTGGCCGCTTTGATGGATACGGATCAAGGAAGAGAATTCGTGGCATATGCCCCCGAGCAGCCTTCCCCTTCGACGACACTGGCGTCGACATCAGGAGCTTCCTCCTCTGATGCTGCTGACATAGTCGATCCACTCGAATACCTTCATCTTGCAAGCATGATCGAAGCAATCCGATCGGTCCCGAATGATCTCGAGTGGGTCGATCGCGAATCCAATCCTGGACCACAGTTTCGGACAGGAGTTATTGATGTACTGAAAACGCTAAACCAACTAGATATTCGCGTGTCCATCCCAGTGGGACATCTGCTCACCATATCTGAAGTCGCGAACGATAAGCTTCTACAACATTGCCAGAAAAATCAAAAGTGTTTCACCTATTAACGCATACAACGAATGTTGAAGAAGAAAGAAGAAAGCGAGGAAGTTGCACCCACCGAGCCTGACACGAAAGAGCCGGAACCCGAAGCCGCACGCATAGCAGCGATCTCTTTAGCAGAAAAAGATCACTTCGTACGAGCTCGGTCGGTATTGTGGAAAAGTGTGGAATGTGACTGTGAAGTTTGGGGCAAGCAGTTTAATGCCCTTATTGACACAGGATCTTCTGTCGTGGCCATATCATTGGATACTGTCAAAAAGACGGGACGACTGGGATCCATTCTTCCTCAATCTGGCAAAGACAATTATGTCTCTGCCGACGAGGAGGCAATGAACATCGTAGGCATTATCGAGAACGTGGCTGTAAAAGTCGGGCGAGTACACGTCCTTGTTAACGCGCTCGTAATAGATGTACGTTCCTATTCTGTGTTATTGGGATTACCTTGGGCGATGGCGGTAGGCGCACGTCTGCATTTCGATTTGAGACAATTGGTACTCACACAAACTGGGAGAAAGCCCCAAACTGTCCCTTTGCGGGTTTCCACCCGAACGATAAAACGGGTCCCTAACTCGGCCCAAATTGGGATGATTCGATGCATTGATCCCGATGAGTAATCTCCCTCGGACGTCAGTGATGGAATCAGGGAACAGGAATACGAAAAAGAGTTGCCCAGCGAAGATGAATGGAAGCACCTGGTTGAATTTTTCGAACACGAAATTCCCAAGGAATTCCAAGTGTGCCCCAACCCTCCTCGAAGTTTCCACGTAGATCCTGGAGACAGCGCGCTCGCGCCTCCGATAACTCAAGTTCGTCATTCAGTCCTCCTCGGGGAACCCATATTGCAAGTTTCCGATCTGGCTGATGATTTGGAACCCCCTCGCACCTTGTACGAGGGAGCTCTCTCCTTACGAACGCGTTATCAGCAAACGGAACAGTATTTAGACGTTTCTGTTTTTCCACCCCGATCATTCCTAACGACAGGAGCAACCATCGCCTCGATTAAACAAGAGGCGGAAGCACCGGTGAGTGATGCACCTAATCTGATGCAAGAAATGACGAATCTAACAAGGCTAATTGTGGAACCGACCTCGGTTGGTTCAGAAACTGACGCTGAAACTAAAGAAACAGAGATGATCAACCCTGCTGAGTCCCAAATACTGTCTTCTCTGCTCGCACCAGCAGTTCCGTTTTTTTTTAGTGTCCATGATCGACGGGAATGGCCGGTTGATTGGATCGATATACCCCTGAAGAATTTCGGGGAATCAACAATCACCTTGTCAGGTCACGTTCCCGCGGAACTTCGAAAATCGTTAATTCGTGTGTTAAATGGCTACGAAGAAGTATTGAGCATACACGATAAGGACATCGGTTTAACTAATGTGATCGAGCATGCCATTCTCACGGGAGATCATCCACCCATTAGCTGCGCTCCCTACCGATACTCGCCAGCTCAAAGAGCGGCCGCTTTTTAGCGGATTAAGGAGTTCGAAGCTAATGGATGGATCGAACCCACTATAGGTCCATGGTCTTTCCCTGTAGTGATCGTACCTAAAAAGGCTGGAGGGATTCGCATTTGCATTGATTATCGAAAGTTGAATGATATCACGATCAAAGATGTGTATCCCCTCCCCCGGATTGATGAGTTGTTGGATGCGATTGGAAGTGCTCGATTTTTCAGCAACTTTGATGTTTGCCATGGGTTCCATCATTTTTTTGTTCGTGAGGAAGATCGTCTGAAAACAACGTTCGTGCTTTTCGAAGGTACATGGCAGTGGATTCGATGTTCGATGGGTATCTGCAATGCCCCTGCGACCTTTCAGCGGACCATGAACATGGCTTTCCAAAATTTCGTGAGGAAGACTCGATTGGCGCAGAGCATCATCAACTACTGCGTGATTGTGTACATGGATGACATCCTGGTGTATTCGAGTTCCTACGAGGGACACGTGCAGCACGTCGAATGGGCACTGCATGCGTTACGAGATGCAGGCTTCAAAGTGGCGCTTGAGAAGTGTCCGTTTTTCCTCATCACCATTTCCTTCCTAGGGCATGTGGTGACAGACAAGGGACTCCAACAGGAGCCGCAGAAGGTGGCAGCTGTCAGGGACGTACCGGTGCCTACGACTATCACGCAAGTTCGCGCTTTTCTGGGCCTAGCCTCGTACTACCAAAGATTTATCAAGGGTTTTGTGGCGATTGCGGGACCCCTCACAAATCTGTTGCGCAAGGATCAGCCGTTGATTTGGACGCCGGAATGCGATCAAGCGTTTTCCACACTCAAGGCCGCTCTCATTTCGGCTCCGGTCCTTATAAGACCGGATCCCGAAAAACCTTTTGTTTTCATCACTGACTGACAGCCAGAGGCGATTTCGGCGATCCTTGCCCAGGTGGGACCACGCGGACTCGAGAGTGTGGTGGAGTATGCGTCCAAATCAGTGCCCGCCTGCAAGCGCAACTACGCCGCTCCAACGGGTGAATGCTATGCGGCTCTCTGGGGAATCAGTCACTTTCGTGCTTACCTGTATGGGCGAAAATTCACCCTGGTGACTGATCATGAGCCCCTGTTGGCTCTGAAGAAGTCGAAGGATTACTCGGGCATGATCGGGCGATGGGCAACAGTGCTGCAGAGCATGAACTTTGACATCCTTCATCGAAAGCACGAGAGACACGGGAATGCAGACGGACTGACACAACTGCACCGGCCTGAGAAGGTTCCAAAGGGTGAGGAGGTAATTCTGTGGAACGAACCCGAACAGGAGATCGGACCTCGATACGGCCAAGTGATGATCTTATCGAAGCAGTAAGTGACACGAGGACTAATTGTTCTGTCCTACTCTCCCTGCATCCCCTCCTCCTCTGCCATCATGACTACCCCACTTGCCTTCGCAACCCCTTTTTTTCCTACTAACTCTGCCCCTCTCACTTCCTCGGCTTTCTTCGCCACCCTCCCCGATAAATTCTGTTATTTTTGCACGTGTATTGCACCAGTTTATGGGGTCGACTGTCATCCTTTCGAAACCGGGCTTGTCGATTGGATAGAATGTGCCACGTGTGTCGACCGTGCGCACGGGGCCTGCGTTCGATATCGGACGAGTAGCAAGAAATGGAGGTGCCCCCTGTGTAGAACGAACAAGCTCCCCACGAAGGTTCAATTCGAGGCCGCCCGTACGGACGGCCCTGAATACGACGAAAAATACCGACGAGCGGAGGTTTGGATGAATAAAATTTTATTAGCAAAAGTAGCGGGATTATCATTAGGCCACCTCACCAAACACGACAAACGTAGAGCAACCGAGAGATCTCAGGACTATTGATGGATCAACGGTCATTTGGAAAAGCGTAAAACTGACGGATCAGGTTCGTGGTTGACGATTCCCCATCCCTTTCAGAGATATGATTGGATCCGATCCACTCACGAAGAACAGACCGCTCATTTTGCAATACGTGTCACAGAGGCAACTATAGACCAGAACCGATGATTCTGGTCTAATATACGAGATGACGTCAAGTACATTGTCGCTAACTGTCTGGTCTGTGCCAATGATCGCGCCCCTATACGGGGACCAAACACGATCGTACCAACGGAAGTAGAGCGTCCTTTCCAGCGAGTCAGTATGGACACGACAGATATTGACGTGCCACCTAGTCCAAACCGCTGTGAATATTCCATCCTGTTAGTCTTAATTGACCATTTTTCCAAATACATCGAAGTCTATCCGTGTAAGACCCGAAAGGCCGCAGAAATAGCCACGTACATCGAACGATTCCTCTATACCCACTTAGATACGAAAGAAATTCTAACTGACAATGGGTCGGAATTCAAAGGGGAGGTAGAAGAACTGCTTGCGCGAAGGGGCGTCACGCTCCGACATACGACACCCCACGTGTCCCAGTCGAACGGGTTGGCCGAGAATGCCAACCGTATGATTAAAACCGCCCTTCACAGGAACTTAGCGGCACAAGACACGCGTCCTTGGCCCAAGATCGTATATCAGATCGTCGGGATCCACCGGGCCACCTCTCATGAGTCTACGGGGTTTACCCCCTTTCAGCTTCGAACTAAAAGCCTCCCCTGTATCGATTACCGGGGTAACTCGGAAATTGTCGAAGCAGGTGGTAGAGACACGCGTGCAACTCTCAAGGCCAAGGCCAAAAGGTACACCGAATTAATGGAACGGACCGTCCCAAAGGTAACCCGAAAAAGGCAAAGAATGACCGAACTGGCCCACGGTAGACAGGTCCGTAGCTACGAGGCCCGGAATGGAAATGTTGGGCCCCAGTACCAATATAAATTAGGGGACCTAGTGCAGGTACGTAAATGTGCACGCGACCGGAAACTCGCTCCCAAGTTCTCTGGTTGTTTTCGCGTGGTCGAACTCGGACCCAACGGCGCCAACACAGTGCGCATCGCGCCTGAGGCTAGTGCCAGCCATAGCTCTGTCCCCATCGTCCGGCATACCTCCTACCTCCGTCTTCTTCCTCCTTCTGATCTTCCTCCCCCTTCTTCCTTCTTCCTCGGAAAGCGAGAAGAACGACGACGATCTAACTCTCTCCCCTCTTTCTCCCTCTTGTCCTTCGTCCTCCTCTCCCACCTCGCCATGAGTTTTATCACGGAGCGGGTTCTTGACGTGCAGTTGTCGCAGCCACGTGGACACATCTCAGAGATTCGGCAAGTTTGTCACCCTCGGCTCAATGCGGATCTTCGGCGTCTGACGCGATTCTTCTGCAACGAAGGTATCTGTGCCGCCGCCTCGTTTCGGATCGAAGGAAGTCCTCATGTGGTGGTATTCGCAGAGGTAACCGCAGTTCATCGGCGAGCGGGTCTCAGGACGAGCCACGTCACGACGGTGGCGGCATTCACCGACGACATCAGCTCGGTCAATCTGTTATGGCATACCGCGACCTTGACCTCGCTGCGCGAGTGGACGGAGCAAGTGTCCAACGTGTGGCAGCACGTCCTCGCCCGACAAGGGTATAGCATTATCCCGATCTTTACACCGGATCTAGACAATATTCACCGATCACTGCGCGAGCGGCCAGTTGGGATCCCAACCCTCGTCCCCTTCCCACATCCCCAATGAACCACGTCGATCTCCTTGCGCCTCTCTCTATCTTTGCTCTCCCCTCTCTCTTCCCCACCTTCTGGCAATCCGATTTTCACCCTTCTCTTTCCTTCTCGTTCGAGCCTCTTTCAGTCCCTCTTATCAATCTTGGACATTGGCGGTTGTGGCGCGAAACGTTTGAGGAGCTATCTTTCTGCCTAGCCAGAGTACAGGTGACGTGGACGGGCACTAGCGAGCATCCCACGTGGATCGAGAATCCGGGGCTGCTGATCATACAGGCTTGGAGGACTAACGTGGAAGGAGATCTTCTTGGCTTTCTCTTCGGATCGGTATGGCCGGGTCGACGCCACCTGATTGCGCAGGAGCTTATCACACCGATCGTGCAATTGGCGAATGATCTCTCGCCCGACATCTATTTTCAGAGTGACGACGGTCCTGCTCCGTACATTTTCGAGCGATCATTGGACCCGTACCTTCAGTGGACTGCGTGCTTGGAGGAACCTAGGGACGAGGATACGCTACCATCGCGGCAGGAGTACCTGAAGCCGTACGAGATCATCCCTCACGCCTTCTATCCGAGGGCAGACGAAGTAGTGATCGACGACGACGAAGAAGAAGACGAAGACGAAGAAACATCGGAGGAGGGAATCTATAGTGAACATAGCGAGGGCGAGCTGAGCGAAGGAGAAGAGGAGGAAGAGGAAACTCGATCTGAGTGGGAAGCCTTGCTGGAGGAAGCGACGCGTACAGGAACGGAGGCAGACGATCCGGAAGCGGCGCGAAAGCGCGAAGAAATTGCCACCGGAAAGCGCCAGCTGGAGTTCGCCAGCCAAGCTAGCCTGCGCATCGACAACGATCCGACCAGGGATCCAAAGCCACCGAAGCCCGAAGATGGCGACCCTGCAGCCGCCACCTCAAGTACCGAGCGACGGAGACGGAGCCGATCCCCCTCTTCCCCCAGCCCCACCCGTCCCCCAGTTCGCCCATGTCCTGATGCGGACGATAGGCCTTCGTCCTCGAACGTTGTCATGCCGACCCCTTGATTTCCTCACCCTCGAGCAGATCCGTACCCCTGTCACCCTCCCCTCCCATCCTTTCCATCCCCATCTCTTGCGCGACTTCTATTCTACCCGTCTACTCGCCACTGTCCACCCCCACGCCTCCCTTCAATCTGTTGCCCCCACGTTCTGCTGGCATCTCCTACTGTTCAGCGCTGCATGGGAGCGATGCAACGTGGTAGAGGTTTACTGCGTCGCCACGGGGACAATCCCCGCTTGCCGCCACTTCGAGATTTTTCGAGTGGCGCTCTTCCGCACCCTTTCCTCCTTCTACCGCGACTACCTCGCTTCCCTCCCCCGCAGCGGCGATCATTTCCCCCACTTTCACCGGATCATCCGACATGAGGAGCTCCCGGTGACGATGGAAGGGATGAATCGCTTCCTACCCCCACTTCCTCCCCGTCATCCCGGCGAGACCCCCTTCTTGTACCGCCTGTACTGGCCTATTCCAACTAGGCGGTAGGCCCCAATCACATAACCCCCCCCTCCTCTCCTCATCGGCACAAATCAGTAAGCTTCGCAACCTACGCTCTGATTCGACGAGCAGCAACGAGCTGGGGTGCAGAGCACACGGAGATCGGGTGGACCGTGATTGCGTCACCTGGACGATCTCTACAGGGCAGGGGGTTGCATATGACAGGGCCGCGAAGGTCTTGCCACGGATGTTGTTGCCATCTCATATGCGGCTCAGTTACCACCCCTTGTGCTTCTTTCTGGAAGCCTTGCTGATGTATTTGGTTCCTCATGCATCACTCTGTTCTCCCTCTCTCTCTTTCCTCTTCCGCCATGACATGCAATCAGGAGATCGCATAATTTTGGAACCCCCTGCGCGTCACTTATGTGACGAACCACTTCCCGAACCCTTGCTATCTTTCGTACCCCTATTTATGTACTATATCAAACCCATTAAGAACCCCTTTTCGGTTTCTTGTTTTCGGATGCTGCATTTCCTTTATTTGGAAGCTTTTTCGATTTCCGGGTTCTGTTTTTCCTTTTTGCAAGTCGGGAAATACATGGGAATTTACGTGCGCCTTAGCGAGCGCACGGGGAATTGGGCTCGGCGGTTGGGAATTCCGGGATAAGCGGAACTTCAGCGTGTCCTTTTCGTATGTGTGAATGTTCTTGGTTGCGTCGGGGATCACTGGTAGAACACCAAGCTTGCCCAGGCACGTACGTGAGGCCAGTGGGGATTGAACCCACGACCTGCTGAATGCAACTTCCCTTACCATTTGAGCTAGGCCCGCAGGCCCCAGGGCTGTTTTCCTCGTGCACAGTTTTTATTTCCCCCCCCTCCCTCTATGGGTCAGATAGTTTTTGTACATAGCCAGTTTGATAAGCATGATACATTTTGATCCAGTGGCCTAGCTCAGTTCATAAGGCACGCAAGTGGCATTCAGGAGGTCTAGGGTTCAATCCCCATTGGCCTCATATACTTTCCTGGGCAAACTTGGTGCCTGCCACCTAGAGGTAAGTCGTTGATCCCCCCGAGCGACATTCAGCAGAGACGGCTGATGTTCGTAGGGGGAGGGGACCGGAGGGGAGGCAAAGTGACTGGCCCATCGAAGAAGCTCGGTCCTGATGCTATCGGCTGGCCCCTGGCCGGTATCGCCCACCTGCAGGTCGGGTGTAGCCCTCACATGTTCCCTCGTTGGAGGCTTGAACTCGCGCTGGCTGCTATGGGCTTCCCCCTAATAATACTGTAACAATAATAAAAAGGCCTGAAAGGTCGTCCTGTCGAGATTTGGCAGGTAATTAAAAGTTTGGCGGCTGACTGGTCATAAAAAGTTTTCGCCCTCTCACATACGGAAGGGATGTGAGGCACCACTCGTCATTTCATAAACGTTGATAAAACCAAGAAGGATCTATGCACAAATTTCTTCAATTACCTCTCGAAAAAACAAAAATAGAGAAGACATTGAGGCCAAAAATCGAAAAGAGACAGGCCACCTCTGGAGGTGGTCTCCAATTGCATCCTGGTACAGCCCGTCAGGCCGCTGACATCTAGGTTGCCAAAAAGTGGCCGGAGGACCAATGTGCCCACCAGTACGTTTCCCATATGTCGGCCGTGGCCAGTGGCCGAGGCCCGAAACGAAAAACGGGCCACCTATTCTATTTAGGGAGAATTTTGAAATGACCCTGAAGTTTGCGTTTATTTGCGATTTGCCCCTCCGACGGCCCGACTTACCCTGATTTGGCCCTCTGACTGTGATTCGAGTTTCCAAAAGACCTCTAGTGTCGTTTGGGCCTGAGACATTTTCAATATGCCCCTACCAGTACCGTTGCCACAGTTCCAGTTTGCCCCTACCGGATAGCGGTTCAGTACAGGCACAAGAATTTTCCATATGCCCCTACTGGTACCATGCACCTTTTCGGTATGCCCTTCTGGCCGCTGCTGGCAGTAGCGGCTGTTCCCCTGACCGTGGGAGGGGTGCTATCGTGCGCACGCTAGAGAGAGAGAGAGAGAGAGAGAGAGAGAGAGAGAGAGAGAGAGAGAGAGAGAGAGAGAGAACATGTTAGTCTTTAATCTTGCGGCTGGCCTCATGGTACTTCCATCAATAGGAGAAGCAAAATGGAATGAATCT